GATATTGGAATGTTGGCGAATTTACTTTAATTCTGTGATCCCCTATTTTTTACCCCTCAAAAATACCGCTTCATTTTATTTAAAAAAAGAGGGAAAATTTTTTCCAACCAATTTTTCTTCCCCCAGAAGTAACAGGATAGAAAAAAAAAAAAAAACATCCTAAAAATTTCTAAAATTTTGACTACAACAATTTTTGGGGTTTGCCCCCAAATCCCAAAAAAAAATCGGGACTAGCAACCCTCAGCTGAGGGAATAAAAAAGGGATGTCAAAAGTACCCCAAAAAGGGTATAAACCAGTCTTTATAAGTAAAAAAAACTAAATATAACCCCGATTGGGACTGGAAAACCCCAGGGGACAAGACAGGAAATTTTTGTGAAAACCCAAAGTAATCTTTAAAATAAAGGAAAAATTGAGGGGAAGAGGAGAAAAAAAATGTCACAGTGCTCTAGAATCTGTCCAAACTGGGAATTTTAACACATTTTTCTCATGGTTATGTTTTTCAGTTGAAACCTGTGATTTGAGTTCTGTTAGTGAAAGGGAGATTGTTTCCCTTAAGGATGTTACAAGCAAGAAAGTATCCCAGTATGCTAAGCCATCTGTCCTGGTCAAGGTCATGAGGAAGTGCAGGCTCATCCATTACATCAGTTATTCTAGGGAAGACAAATGGCCATTCCAGGTAACAGTTGCAATTTATGGTAAATGTTAACATGCCAGTTAGTTATTAACACCGTACAGTTTAATCCGAAGCTGGTGAAGTAGGAAAATGTGACAAAAATTAAGGTGGAATCTCACACATTATTAAAAAAAAATATTTATTGTACCTGTCTTGTCATAACCACTTACCTACGATCCTATCTCTTTGATCCACTTCCTGTTTAGTATCTTACTGCGTGACAACTCTTGTGACATAGAACCAGTTTCAAATATTTTGTGATATGCCTCACTATAAAGCTAAGTGATTTTTATGTAGTCTGGTTTGTAATTATATCATCCATTTTGTGTTTTCATTTTGTGTTATCTGCTTATATAGAGTTTCTAGTCAGTTATGATTGTGGGAGTATGGAACTGACTTGTTCCACTTCTCATTCGGATTGAAATTTTTCCTAAGTTATCAAATACAATTCACTGAATTTTTCTAGCTACCTTTACTGGTTGGAGACAAGTCTGGCTGGTGCACTGTTGTTCTGTGGAACAAACTGGCACTAAAGATGTTACATAAGTATGTAATTTTAGTTTTATCTGTTGTCAAAACCTTGTGAAAAATTTCCTCTCACTTATGTTATAATTGTTGTTTCACTACATTACTAAAGAGCAAAAACTTTAGTTTTATTTTATATATGGGATAAGTTTATACTCCCTCCCTCAAATCATCAATTTTTTGTGTGAATTTAGAATGTTCATTGAGCCCAAAAAGTCAATATTAATTTTCGACAGTATTTACAGAAGTTAAACTTCACATCAAAATTTCTATATGTTCATTTTCTATGTGGTGTGGTTCATTTGTTTGTCTGTTTAGATTCTATGTGAAATCATTCCTGCATGTTGCATGAACTTATTTTAAGATGGTCTCCTGGTGAAGTGTTGAGTTATTTGTCTCCTCATCTGAAGGCCTTAGGTTTGGTTTTGGAATCTGTCATTCAGTTTGTGATTGCAAGTATTTTATAGAATTTTGGGGATGTTGCTGGAGCTACAGAGTCAGTGTATTGTGCAACATTCTCACAGGTGACCATTCACTTTCTGGAGATGGATAGCCATATGGTATCAAACCTGGTGCTATAAAGGTGATCACATCGTTTTTAAATACACTTTAAATGTAAACATTTGTTCTGAATTTAGGTTGTTATTGGTGGGAAAATTCCTTGACTATACTTTTGCTACCAGCAAATAATTTCTTTAACCCTTTCTATAATTTACCAAAAAATGTTAAAACAGCTAGTTTTTGGATTTTCATAAATTAGAATAGCACTGAAAATCAAAAGGAGGTAAGCTTACATACAGGATAGAATGGGTTGATGTCATAACTGGATAATTTAATAGATTTAATATAATAACTGTATATTATAAGAAAGTTAATATAATCATTGTTTATAATTTAGGAAATAAATATGACTGTTTATAATTTAAGATAGATTTAGTATAATAACTGTATAATTTAAAAGAGTTTATATAATAACTGATTGTAAGATTGTCTTGTGTTGATTTTGACAGTGGCATCAAGAGCTGACCGTTCAAAGGCATTGGCAAACTATGTGAGCTACAGTGCCAGTTAAAATGCTGGGGTTGGTTCTGCAATGACCTGAAAAGGATTTGCAACTGATTTACTGTAATGAAATAGAAAAAAAAAATTAGTAACTTTTACCTGGACTAACCAGTGAATGTTTAGTGAGCTACTTGGTATCAAAAGAGTTAATGCCACAAACATTTAGTTTTACTGAAGAATGATGTAAATACCTTACAAGGCCGAAATGAATAACAGAGTGTTTCAAAAAAGGCTAACATGCAAAAACAGCTAATCACAAACATCAGAATTAAGAAGCTGGCAATAAGACAATTTGAGGCAGAAAAAAAATTAAATTGTGTATTGTTTAATTTCTGTGTTCTGATGTGTTATAGGGTTTTATACTGAACACTGCTGATTGACAGAATACTGTCAGATTGTCTCTACACTTAGCGGTTGCAATGAAAACCAAAATAAACAGGCCATACTGGCTTTTTTAAGTATTATTAAAAAGTTGTTGTTGTATGTACAGGCTCAGTTTTTATGTGTATGTATATATGTGTATTTATGAGGGGAATCAGTAAATGACTCACAAATGACTTTAAAAAAAAAAGGCTTATAGCAACTTGAAAACTGTTTGTTTTTACACATACACTGTTTCTTTAGTTTTCAGCACAATTTCCACTAACATTGATGCACTTGTCTTATCGTCCTCCCAAACCTGCTGCATAGAACTGTGTGCTCTAAACCACATTTTCACTTCACATTCAACTTTTGCATCATTCACAAAATGTCTCCTGCCAAGATGGGTTTCCAGTGCACCGCTTTATGGGATGAACATATGTCAGCATCAACAGGAAGTATTTCCTTATGAATGTCCTTTGCTGGCAGCCTTTTTTGACCCCAAAAAAATGCACATGGTTGTTCTTTAAGGGTACACTCCGTAAGTACAGTCACCGTTTTGTTTCTGTGTTGCCAGTATGCATGCAACAACTAGTGCCACCTAATGAATGGAGACATAAAGTTCGATGTTGCTGCCACCGAATGAATATTGCATTAAAAATACATATAAGAAAGTGAATCTGACAGCAGACGAATTAAGGTGTCTAAAAATAAATATTTTCAAAAACTGTCGACCCAACTCGCATTCACTACTTTTGTGGCCTGTACATTGTGTTAATGGCTAAATTGAAAACAGAGATAAACTGGGATATATGGTAATAACTAGAATATTTACAGAAAGCAAGAAAGAGGAAGACGAAGAGAAGATATGTTTAGTCTTTTAATCCTGACATGGAAAAAATACCAATAATAAATAGATGTATTCTGTTGAAAATGTTGATGTCCCATGGTAATTAACTGAAGGTGCTGCTTATAGATTTTGTTTCAGTTACCAAAGGCAACAGTGCAATATTTTAATTTGTTCTGTGCAGTGTTCATGAGAGCAGCTTGCTTCTGTTGAAGAACTTTCGTGTGAAGACAAGCATCCAACAGAAGACCAAATCTTTCTTTAGTCCTCCCCAAGGCACTGCACTGTTTCCATGTGAGCTGGGTGTGGATTCCCAGAATCCAGCGACTGTTGTCAAACTTGTCACATATCAGCCAGACTGTGCCAGGAATGGACTTAACTTTCCGCGTCTAGAGTTCTGCTTTCTGACCAAGCGAGATCTCGTGTAAGTTATTGGTTTTAAAATTTTTGTTTCAGTGAGTGGGTTTCGTGGTCTCATTTCAGGGGAATACAAGATTTGATCCACTGCTCCCAAACAGTTATGTCAGAAAAGGCAACTAATTTTGTGAAACTGGATGTTTTGAGCCAATAGCACATTTTGCAGCCTAGCAGTAAACCACTGTGCAATGTGCCAACTATCCCTTTAGGGACAGACATAGAAGAAGAAACAAGTTATTTTGGGCCTATGTTTGGTATTGTATTATTGCTGTGGCATGTACTTTTATGGATGTGGATCCGTTATGGTGTGCGGATAGATGCTCACCTGCCAGTCTGAAGGTTGTTGGTTCAAATCTTGACTCCAACCCAGGTCAACCCAGCCTTAATTGGATATCAGATATAGTCCTGGGAAGTAAAGGTGGCTGGTGTGATGTTTATTACATCACCCACCGAGTGGCGATCTGTAAATCTAGATATAGCACTATATACCCAGTGTACCCCCAGGTGTGGAAAAGGGTTCTTTACTTCACTCATTTGAATGGGAGCTTTGGTGGTATAGTGCCTAGATGCTTGCCTTTCAGGCCAAAGATTTCAAGTTTGAATCTGCATCAGGACAGATTTTGATAACTGACCAGGTCAGCCTAGCTTAAAAAAGGTACTGTGATGCGTCCTGGGAAGTAATGGACAGAGGCATGATGTTGACCACATTACGTGTATTGACAAGGCAAGCCGACACAAAGAAAAAAAGGGTGAGGGGGTTGATCAGCACCCAATCACCCCACCTTAAAGATTTTCAAGGCAAAAATGTGTCTTTGTTTATTCCCTCTGAGGTACCCCCCCCCCCCCCCCATTTCCACACCAAGAAATTGAAACAAAAACGGGGGTAAGAGGGTGGGGAGGGAGGGAGGATTAGCCCCCATCCCAAAAAATTGTTGTAAGGGCAAATTTATGAGTCTAAGAGCCAATTGTAAATATATATAGGGACATCTTTAAAAGTATTTGTTTATGCTATTTGTTTTTACATTCAGTTGGCATTTGTGGCTTAGGCATTGTGAACATGCTTTGAAATGCTGGGATCTCAGGTAGATCCCAGCTGCAGGCAATTTGGCATCAGACTGCCTTGCTTTAGTTTTGACATGTATTTAGAGCTGACTGTTCAGAAAGTAATGCAAACTACTGAACTCAAATTTGCCTAGAAAATCAAAACAGCCAAAAAATACTAGGGTTTATTTTTGCAACGTCCTTCAAAGGATTCTCAGCTTACTTATACATTTCATTTTATCAGTATGTATACAATTATATTATTATATTAAGTCGCCATTGAACACATTTTTTATTTCTTAAATTTTTTATTAATGAAGTAGATCTTATAAAGGTAGTCCTAAGAAACTTTTTTTATAATTGATTAATCTTCTTTGCCTTACACATGTTTGTTAGAAGTGCAGTCAGTCTGTCACCCCTTCCCATCTCACCCCCTCAAATGGGCCCTAGAACTAACATGCAAAATGAGTCATCTAAATGTTCTGAAAGATGCTGAGCCTCAACAACTTATCCCCAACATCAGAATGCAGCTGTCATTATTATTTTACCACATTATGAAAAGAGAAATACTGAAATATATCTTGACGACTGAAACAATTTGTGGAAAGAGAGTACAGGAAGACAACAAGAGACAGTTCTAGACAACTTTTGGATACATGATGTTAGGGTTAGCATAATATGGAAAAGCATAATTGTCCACACCAGTTGGCAAGGCTCTTTGATAATAATCACACCTTCTTTGTCTCTCTGCATCATTTTGTTTTCCAACTTGGCAAAACTGTTAAATTTGTACCTTGCAGTTTAAAAAAAAACAAGTGAATTTTGTTCCAATATTGCTTGAAGTTCATGTACTTTCTGCATTTTATTAGTTTTAATATATATATGCTGATTTTTTTTGTGTGATTTTTTTTTTTTTTTTTTGGAAGCTCGGTTCCAGATTTTTCTACAGTAGATGTAGCTGGCCTAATAACTTTTGTTGGACGGGTGGAAAGAGAAGCCAGAAAAGGTGAATATTAATTTGTATTTTATAATATTATTTCATGTACTGTTAAAATATTTTGTGTTCTATAACATTAATTTCTTTTGTGTGACAATAATTTGTGTTCTTTTTGCTAGAAAGCCTTCATCAGCAGTACACAGCATCACTTAACTGAAGTGTCTCCAAGAGAAATCACATATCTGTCTGGCCAATTGAATCTCTGGCACATGTGTGACCACCGGAAATAAAAACAGACCAGAAAAAGCTGTTAATGCCGTAACTCAAAAATATTATATAAACTGTGTTGGATATTAAGTCCCCTAGATGAATATCTTGGACGAAAAAGAGAAGAATTACTGACATCATGAAAGATCTGAACATCAAGGAAAATTGCTAATAAACAGCATCCTGTCTCAGAAGCTGAAAAATTTTGGTCATATCAAGAACCATGATGGATTGGAAAAAATTATAACAGAAGACTTGGTTTCAGGAAGGAGAGGCAGGGGCCGACTAACACAAAGATGGGCACAGGATATAAGTGACTCCTTGAGTGAGAGAGTGGACTTCTTGAGAAATTTGGAACAGGAAAGATAGTATCCCACCCAAAAAGTGTACACTTGATCCCTGAAATACTTCATGCTGCAGGACAAAATCCTAAGTGGCTACACATCATTATGGTGCTGCAGCACCAGTTGTGTTTCCAGTGGACATAGTTTACAGCATGATTCCAGCACTATATTGCTGCATAGGTGTTGTAGCACCTATGCAGCAGCAGATGTCACATTAGCTGGAAATTGTAATTTCCTGACATCGGATTTAACAAATAAACTACTGTCTCGTAATTTTATGACATCAAATTTAACGAATACATGACTGTCTATGAATTGTATGTGTGTGTGTATGTGAGTGTGTGTGGGTGAGCGGTCAGATGGTCCACAGAACAATTCCCCCTGTCTGGCTGGTCTGCTGATATGAAAAGGTTGAAGAACACTGTTCTAAAGCATGTCCGCCTTCAGTTTTTATTGTATTTATAGTAAAGTGAAGGCGGTCTGGTGCACTTGGCTGTTATTAATATATGAAGTACAGAGTTCTTCAAGTAAAATGAATTTACAGGAAGTTATGTTTTAACAAATAATAAAACTTCTATTGAAACTTTTCAAATTAATGAATGAATTACAAAGTAACAACACTACACTTGTAACATTCCTCACATGCATGGTCCCCTTCCTCAGGTTCTACATTCATAACATTCCCACATGTGCACTATTCCCTTCCAGTCCATTCCTACACATGTGCTGTCCCCTTCCACAGCACTTCAGTCAGGACATTTCCACACATGCCTTGTCCCCTTCCTCAGTCAATACACTCAGTACATTGCCATTCATGCACTGTCCTCTTCTTCAGTCACTCCACTGAGTACATTCCCACTACCACACTGTTTCCCTTCCACAGTTACTACACTGAGTACATTCCCACACATGCACTGTCCCTGTCCTAAGTCACTACATACCATACTTTGTGGATATGGGCCGTGCAGATTTTTTCATAAAAGAGATTGTAGAAAATTCACCACAAGACCTGCATGCTGCTCTAGAAAATGATTTTCTGGCTGCATTAAAAAACTGGAAAACATGTTAGAAGTGATGTATCAAATGTGTTGGAAACTGTTTCATCGGAGTCAAATCTAATTAAATTATTTTGAAACAAAACATAATCTGTTCATTAAATGTCTCATTCTGGACTCCCTTGTACATTGAATGGCACTTGAGATAGTAATGAATCTTGAGGCAACAATAAATAAAAGACTTTATTCGTGTCCCAGGGGTATAGTTAGGGTTCACAGACAAACTAGCTAATTTTTCCAAAGTTTTTCAAGGTTTTTCAAAGTATTTTCCATTTTTCAAAGCTGTGCCGAGCATATGTATTACTTAATTCATGCAAATGTACATGGATAAACATACAGATATAGTATGTTTACATCTATGTATATTCTAGACCAGGTGGCAGAGAGAAACAAGTAGGTGGTATGATCATCCAGTTTAACCTCTTTGATAGTCAGTTGTTGTCTCTGTTGTGTGTATATCTTGCACCTTATTATGTTCTGATCCATTTGGGAGGTTTATGGTGTGTCTAGATCTTTGAAATGGGTATACCACTTAATAGTCTATGAACAACTTAGGCAGTACTCTCCAAAACTAACTGCAGCCTTTTAAAAGATTTGGAGCCAGTTTCTTCAAGATGAATACAGAAATCAGTGCACACATTTATGAAGATTTGCTTTACACTGCAAGGTAAAGACCAGAAAAAGGCTTTCACTCTGCCCATGCACAGAAATAAAGTATTCCAGTTTGGTATGTACATCATTAAATGGTTGCTGCATGCACTGTATTATTGTTTCCTTGTTACTGACTGAAAACAATTCAGTATATGAACTTGATGACCAGCCTTCATATTAATCCCCCCCCCCCCTTCCCACTCACTCCTTTTCCTTTTTTTTGGTTGCAGGTTTTGTATTTACTGTTTATTCTTCTTAGTGTTCACCAGCTGTAAACTCCAGCAGAAAGTTCTGGTTGTTCATCCACTTCTGGATTTTAGCCTTGTTTTATAACTTGTTTTCTGTGCACATCTGTTTTACAGATCTGAATAATTTGTATGTAGACTGTTTATTCCTCTTATTATGCAGATGTGCTCCAACTTGAAAGGAAACACTCCTAATTAGTCACCTTCTGTGACATGATTGTTGGGGGGGGGGGGGGGGGGGGGGGGGGGGTGTGTGGGGGGGGGTGGGGGTTTCTCCCCCCCCTTCCCCATAATAAGGACCCTAAAACTCACACAGGGAATCCACTATATAATATACACATTCACTTTCTGTTTCCAGTAGTTTGACAGCTCTGTCGCAGTTAACCTAATTACATTTGTTATATTTACAATTTGTATATGTATTACCGAAGGTTCTGCTAGTCAACGTGAAGACAGTGGAGCCTTTTTTTACCGCCGCTGGGTGCATTTAAGAGATTCATCACTGTCCGAACCCATTATAGCATTGGTTTATAGCGGTGAGCAGGTAACTTTCATTTGATTGTTTTAGTGATTTGTGGTTTGAACAACAGATCAACATCATGGCACACGGGTAGTAACCCATAAGTGCTTTGTTCTTCTTCTAACTCAAGTCTGAGTCTGAAGAAGCTCAGCACAGGCTCTAAAGCACCGAGAAATAGCCATGACAGAAACAAAATGCTGACATGTTATGCTAGTTGTAACAAGGAAAGATCTACTTAGGAATGATATCAGGAGGAGAGTCAGCACAGAACCAATACTGAACTTTATCATTAGACAAACGATCAAATGGTTTGACCATGCAACAAAACTGACAACAGCAGGGCACTGCAGAGAGCAGCATTGTACTGATACAGTGGTAACCTCTAGAGGTCAACCACACAGAAGATGGACTGAAGATGTCAGAAACACGGAAGAATACTATATACAATGTGAACAAAAGGACCCATTCCATAATCTCTTCCGGTATTGATGCTGCGAGGTATTCCAGGAGTAGAGAAGAAGTCATGTAGTACAGGGATGTGTAATCTGCTTGTGTCTGGGGACTGCAGCTGTGGCCATGTTTGTTATATATGTGCACAAATTCTAGCTCAGTCACTTATGTTTCTACTAATGCTGCCAGTGGGGAATTTATTTTCCAAACAAGTTTAATTTGGAGACTGGAATTGGTAATTTTATTTTGACAGACATATACACACATATTTTCTAGGTTAAGAGAATAAAGGTGGTGGGGGGGGGATGCCTAGGAGCCCAGTCCTAGTTTGAGAGCATAGTAATAATACTGTGCTGGATGATGAATTAATATAATATTACATTTGAAATAGTCTGAAATGTCTAAAAAAAAATACTTGTAAAGAGAATTTATGTGCAGTGTTAAATGGGACTGCTTAACCCCCTTACAGAATTCTTGGGAAAGCTCAATGAACTGCCTCTCCTAAAAAAAATATTTGGTTTTTGGGTGGGGGTCAGGTGGCCAATCCCTCCCAGGCTTCACTACCTCTTCATCATTATCCTGATGGTAAAGTATTGTATTTCATAGAGACAGAAACTATCAAATGTAGAGAAAGGATTTTATGAAGAGACTAGGAATGATGGGAATGAAAAGAGATGGGAAAAAACAACAACAAAAGAGACAAGTCAAATATTTCAGCTGCAAAAAAAAAAAAAAAAACAAAGCACTCTTTTAAAAACTGTATTGGAGAGAAAAGTTAAAGGCAGGTTAACATGAGGTAGATGATGAAAGAAGTGGGAGCATACCATTTGTGTGTTGGAGGGACTAATGAGGGTGACTGGAGTTGATAGAATTGAGGTAAAAAAGGACAAGGGATGACAGAATCTTCAGTACAGGACTCTCTTGTCCAGATTCTTTAGTCTAATAATGGTTCTGAAGTGATTGGGCTGAAGTAAAAGAATCAGTCATCCAGTCACCTGACTTAGACTCATATAGGTGGATGTAGCAGTGGTAGCAAGCTAGACCTTCCACAGTTTGACTTGGGCTTTGACTTTGATGATGATATTATCCCACCAGCCCCAACCAAATATCTGTTTCAGGATTCTGTGTTTGGCCTCAAAACTGTTACCAGTGATAAGCCTTCATTACAAGAAAGTAGAATGCTTTCATTAAGTGACGCTGATAAAGCAACAGGTTCAGTTAGAAGACTCACTAGGGATCTACCAGTTGTCATTCCACCTGCTTCAGCATTGTCTGATGGCACATGTGATTTTGAGCCTTTTATGAGTACTTTTGACTTACAGCTGTCATCAGAAGAAGGAACTCATGGAACAGGGTAGGATGGATGGTAATTAGGGAACAGAATAGAGGGTAAGGAACTGGTGATGAATAGTGGATTTGAAAGAACCGATTGGATGAAATGGAAAAGGAAGGAGTTATAGCACATAATGGAATGTGCTGGGAGGTAATTCTGGCAAGAACTGGAATGTAAGATAAGAGACAGAGTGTGTTGAAAATCTGTTGCTGCAAACCTTCATTGTGGAAATGACATCTGACTGATTGATTGATGAAACATAAAAGAGTTATGGTCCAATTTAGAATGTACAAAAGTTATATTATAGGATGTATGGCCCTTATGGTACTGTATGGGAGTTATGCTACAGTATGTTGATTAAAGTACAGTATGTGAATTAAAGTACAGTATGAGAGTTATGGTACAGAATGAGAGTTATGTGTAGTATGTGAATTATGGTACAGTAGGATTATTATGGTACAGTATGGTAGTTATGGTACAGTATGAGAGTTATGGTACAGTATGGGAGTTATGGTACAGTATGTGAATTATGGTACAGTATGAGAGTTATGGTACAGTATAGGAGGTATGGTACAGTATGAGAGTTAAGGTACAGTGTGTGAATTATGGTACAGTATGGGAGTTATGGTTCAGTATGTGAATTATGGTACAGTATGAGAATTATGGTACAGTATGGGATGTATGGGAGTTATGGTACAGTATGTGGATTATGGTACAGTATGGGATTTATAGTACAGTATAGGAGTTATGGTACAGTATGGGAGTTATAGTACAGTATAGGAGGTATGGTACAGTATGTGAATTATGGTGCAGTATGGGAGTTATGGTACAGTATATGAGTTATGGTACAGTATGTGAATTATGGTACAGTGTGAGAGTTATGGTACAGTATGGGAGTTATGGTACAGTATGGGAGTTATGGTACAGTATGGGAGTTATGGTACAGTATGGGAGTTATGGTGCAGTATGTGAATTATGGTACAGTATGGGTTGTATTGGAGATGGCTCACTATAATATGAACAGAAGTTATGATACAGTAAAGGGTGAATGGGAGTTATGGTTCAGTATGGGATGAAGAGAAGTTATGGTACAGTAAATGGTGTATGGGAGTTATGGTTCAGTATGGGTTGAACAGAAGTTATGGTACAGTAAAGGGTGTATGGGAGTATGGGAGTTATGGTTCAGTATGGGATGAACAGAAGTTATGGTACAGTATAGGATGTATGGAAGTACAGAATGGGAGGTATAAGAGTTATGGTACCATGTAGGATGGACAAGAGTTATGGTACAGTATGGGAGGAAGAGGAGTTATGGCACAGTTTAGGATGTATGGGAGTTATAGAACAGTATGGGAGTTATGGGATGTATGGAAGGTATAGTACAATGTAGGATGACCAGTGTGGGATGTATGGGAGTTATGGTAAAATACATAAGGTACAGAGGTACCATCCAGTATTGGGTTAAAGTTATTTATAACACAGTATTGTATAAAAGGATTAGTGGTATAGAGTACAATGAAGTGACTTCTGTCACAGAGTGGGATGAAAGGACTGGTGGCAAGTAGTGGAATTAAAGGATTGTTGCACATGATTTAATGAAAGGATTTAAGGCACAGAATGGGATAAAAGAATTTATAGTAAAGAGTTGTATGAAAGAATTTGTGGCACAGAGTGGGAGGAAGGAATAAGGGGGATGTAGTTAATTGATGACAGATAATACATTCGAAGTAAGTAACGGAACAGTTTATAATGTAACAGAATGTGGCGCACACTGAGATCATTAGAAATAATAGCAACAGATGGGAGACATTAGCGTGAGCAGATTATGAAAGAGATATCCTGTGTGACAGTCTGAAAGGCAGAAGAAGGTAGTGGACTGGTCATTAGTAGTTATTAGGCATTATATCGAGAAAAGTGTTAATTTCTGTTTGTAACTTGATTTGATTGGTCTTAATTAACTTGTTGCAGAAGGAGCTGTTCTTTAGTCTTAAGCCAGGACAATACCTGTTGTGTAGACACATGCTCACAAACCAGTGCTTGGATGATCTGGTCTCTTCGAGGCAAAAACGACATGGATGGTTAACTACAACAGCATATTCATGGGTAAGAACATTTGTCTTTTCTCTTCTTAACACTTTCGCTGTGATGACCTAGAAAAAATAAAACCAGGCTACAGTAATTTCAATTTTTAGGATATTCTCTGGAAAAAAAAAAACACATTAGAAAAATCTGCCATCTTATACATTAGAGAATAAAAAAATTATTGCACAAAATCAATTTATCGTCCAAAACACGAACAAAGTGTAAGGGGAGTAATCAAGTAATAAACACAAATGATTGCAGCATAAAATCAACTGGCTTACATCTCTTGGGGCCTGAAACGAATTGTAGCGTAATACTTACTTAATCCTGTGACTTGGTCACCCATTAACCGCTCTAGCCAATGGGGGGAAAAAGAAATATAAATTTCTATAAATAAAGTAATTTCTTTGTAAAGGAAATCCCCTTAAATGCTATTTTTAAGTAAATTTAGTCTTTCCCCGTCACCTGAATGTTTACTTTGAAAACTGATTTTGTCACTTGTGGAGATAAAATTTAAACCTAGCCCTTGTTTATGTAGGCTAATACACCATCTATTGTTTCATGGTGGCTTCAGCACTTAAAGCTGACAGAAATACATCCTGAAGAAACAGAGTAGCCTCTGAGTTAAATATATATGTGTAGCTAAGTGTGACAAATTGAAGATGTCTTGAATGAAATCGACTCACAGATAGAACTTATTGCCCACGTAAGAAGGAGACATCTTCATTCTTTGGTCATGTCATGAGATGGAGAAAGCTGAAGTACATCGTGATGGTGGGAATGTTGAAGGGGAAAAGAGGCTGAGGGAGACCAGGAGAGAGAGAAGATTCTGGACAGTTTGACATAGCATGGAAGTTTATCTGTGTCAGAATTGATTGAAAGTATATGAAACATAATGTTGTGGCTAGACATGACTATCAGCGAAACATGGCTTGGACTGTAAGAAGAAGAAGTGTGACACACTACCCTCAAAAGAAGACAAAGAATATAAAATTCAGCTCTGAAAGGCAGGTTAAGTGTTCTGGTGAAAGCCATAGGTAAACTCTGGTGTGTTTTACATCTTGTACAGAAGAAAAACAGGATTCAATAGGATTAGTTCAAGCAAACACAAACAAGAAGATACAGTGCAGACTGTTCAAGGCTATCTTGGATGTGGTGAAGAACAATTTATTTATCCCTGGCAGTTTTGCTTGTTTGAATATTTTATCTGGGTAAGAGAAATTTCTAAAAGGAAGACCAATTCTTGGGTCCCTAATGTGTTCTGCTTATCAGGTCTGCACCGCATAAAACTGACTTATTATGTTTCTGTTCCAGTTGTATGTGTTTACCCCATCAAACACTAGGAACCTTCCTGAGGATTTCAGGGATCTTGTAAAGACCAGCATGCCTACACACCCATCTGATTATTCTGGTCTGTTCCAAGAAGGTGGCGTGTTCAGATACCCCCCGTTTTCCTATTGTATTGAGTCATTGCAAAGGAGTAGATCTGAAGTATTACAAGTGGTATGTATCTGTTCATTATTTTATTAAATCATGTAATTCTGTAAATTCTGTTGAATTCTGTAAATTTAGCAGTAGTTTCATAAAATAGCAGAATTTTTTTCCAGAACAGTTTGAGCCTCATAAAAATGTTCCAGAACTTTCTAGGAATTGTCTTGAAAGCCCCCATGTAAGTTCTGGGGGTTCCGTTTTTGGCTAGGAGTGGGGAATAGACCCACTGCCACTCAACAAGTAAATCATAAAAGGTGGTTAATTAGAATTCGCCTGAGTGGCGAGGAAATAGTCAGCATACAAATAAGCCAGATCTGTAAAATCGATGTGCATGCAAATCTCAAGTTCTGGAATGAGACCAAAGTCCAGAAGTGGATGAACAACCAGAACTTTTCTTGTGAATTTACAGACAGTGAATGCTTAGACACAGACAAGGAAGACAAGAAATAATGACATTCTTAAAGATCTGAACATAAAAGAAGATTGGCCAGTAAACAGTATCTTGCCTCAGAATTTGCAATATTTTGGTCAAATCAAATGCCACGTTGGATTATATGCACAGTCATATCAGTCATAGGGTAGCTCAGTCATATCTCAGTCATATCATATGCACACACAAGAATATCATAACAGAAAACATATACTTCCATGTCCACAAATACAAGAGAGATAGAGAGAGGGAGAGACAGAGAGAGATCCTAACAACAAATATATCCTTTCTTTTTTTTCCAGGAACCCACTCCAAGTTTTATTCAGCCTTTCTAATCAAGTGGCAGGGACTCAATGACCCTGTTGTTATGAACACTATCAAACCATGTGCTTTCAATACCCGAAATAAACTGGACAATTTCATTGACTTTGTTGCTGGAATTCATGACTCAGATTTGGGCTTTGTGGACTGTGTGAGACCAAAACCAAGAAGTGAAGAAATCAAGATTTTGAAAGAATCTGCTCACTCACTCGTGAATTCTAGGTTCTTACTGTTACTAGATGTGTACACAAACAGCAATAATCGCCAGTTGATTGTTCTCAACAGAGCATTCAAGATGTGACAGCCAGTGAATGAACCAACAAAATTGAACTTGAACATTTTTTTTTAATTGATCATGAATGTCAGCCAGTCAAGGTACCTTTTCTGCCACTCATCTTTTTCACATTGACAAAAGGAAGCATTATATGTTTTAAATTCATGTAGTAATAGTAATTTAATTAATGATTTTCTCTTCAACCCTTCTAGGTTATAGTTGGAACAGTCCTTCAACAATAAACAAACTTATAGTTATATGAAATTTAAATATGGTATTGATTTGAAAAAAAAAATACCTTAGAGCCTCATACTGCAGTGGCAGATTAGGCATAAAGGGCTAGATAGATTTTTTATTGACCAATCAGCACTCAAGCATGCCACCTTTATGTCCCAGGATATTTCCTGCTTCATATTTTAGGCTGGCTTGACCATTGAGTCAAGATCACTTTAAAAAAAGTCTGCCCCTATATGGGTTTGAACCTAAGGCTTCCAGGCTGCCAGGAAAACTTCCTACCACTGCTTTGCCAAGGCTCCCAGTGGTAAAAATTACACCCCTTCACAGTCCTCCATATTGTAATTTCGATACTTCAATGCTGTTGTTTCAGCCAAATCATCCATTTCCTTTGTGTCACTGTTTCAGTCAAATCAAACATTCTACAGATATCTCTTCAAATGAGTTCTCTATCAAAATGATGTAACTTTTTCTCTCTTCCTTGTGTTTATGTATTAATTGAACATGGGCTTTTTACCGTCTTGCATCCAGAAATGAAATTACCACTTACTTAAACCCAGAATATGCATTATTCTCTGCTCATCTTGTGATAAAAAATTATCAGAAAAAAAAGGGGTTAACTTAGGTTTGCTCATGTTTTATTCTCCACTTGTATACACTGAAGCTGGCAACTTTTCTGAAGCATTTAATTTTACATTTTATGAGTTTCCTTTCCTATTTGAAGTGTCAGATTTGACACTGATAGCGGGATAATGATATTTATTACCAATATAAAACTCATAATATACTTGCAGTAAAATTTTTAAAACATGAGTTTCTTGTGTGTCTTCTTTTCTGGCTGACGCAAAATATGAGCAGAGGGTAAGTCTCACCCATTGTTGATGTCATCAGCTTTTATGTGTTATGTTATGTTATTTGTGTGTTGATGCCAGCTTTAATATGTTAGGTAAATTTATACACAAATTAAACTGCAGTTTAATTAACTTGCAACATATTTTATTGAATGAATTATCATTATGAAGATAATTAAGTGAGCCATTAGAGAATAGAATAATAATAATAATAAAATATTCAATTAAATATGTTGCAAGTTAATTAACCCTACCAAACCGCTGGCCCAATTTTCTGGAAATTTCTTAACCTGACTCTATACCGCTGGCCCTAATTTTCGGCTATTTACGTAGTACGATAAAAAGATGCGTCACACACTAAAAATAACTAGCCAATCGTAATCAGATCTCGTGGATATTCTTCCTAGATGTCCGCCTGCATGTGTTTGGATAAAATTTGTTGTTTTACATGAAAAAATTATGAAAATTCACAATAAAACGAGCACAGGAAAGTAAAGTAGGTCTAGGCTTATCACAGTCCAACAGGTGATCGATACTTTGGTTTATTAAGACTCTGCAGATTTATTATTTCATGAAGAATATGTTCACAGTTGAAATGACACATTCATCTCGAATAAGGAGGAGAATCTTAAAAATTATAAATCTAGAAATAGATCGATAGTAAGTGAAAGGGGAAGGGCGTGTCTCCCAAACAGCAACATCTGGTGCTCACTTTGTGAAACAATCCTGATCCTCCTGAGTTGATTGGCACACACAGGTGGAATATTGGCGCTAGATAAAAATTAAGCCTATTTTCTACAATGTTTCCAAGTTTCATCTTATTCTAGCCACTTTTTTTTTGCATGTAACTAATATTTTTGTATATAATATTGGTTAATGCTCAGGTATAGGGGACAGTTAGTTTCAGGGCCTCAGGTCTGTTAGGGTTAAACTGTAGTTTAATTTGTTTTTACATTTACTCTATAACAATGGTGGGCATAGACCGGCCTATAAAAATAGGAATTTCCGTAGACCTGTTTGGCCTTACAGCTGGAGCCGGCCATGGATACACCAGACAGTTTGCCAGCTCAGTTTAGTAAAGGTTGATGATGCTGCCACCAGTTGACATCTTTAGGGTAAAACAATTACAGTTGTAAAGTTTCCTGTTAGTTTATGACTTGTAAATGTTCCTTTGTAGAACTGTCTGAAAATAATGAAGCAAATACAAATAAAATAGATTGTTCAGAGGAAACAGCACAAAGCGAAACAACACAATTTAAAATAACAAAAACAATTAACAGAACAAAATTGTGGCGCGGTGATTTCTGTCACAGACGTGAGGTAAAGTTAAGTCTAACGTGATGTGTATAAGGAGGTACTCCGTACATCACTCGATCGCCAGTCCTTCACTGTTCTTGTTTTACGGAACCTCAGCAAGATTCCTGCAGCACGTCCTCGTCGTGCGCCATGGATAATGTCTCAAATGAGCATTAACAAAGCTGTCAGGGGATCTCGGAGATTGGCGGCCCCCAGAGGTGATGTGTCCTTGTGGCTCTCATCAGCCCGCCTTCAAACGCATGGGAAAAAAAGTTTATAAAAAAACTCATTAGGAACATAAGTAAAGTCTGCTTTCCAAACGTACAACTAAAATGACAACAATTGGTTAAAAGTTAGTGGAGTGAAGAGAACATTGTGCTGCTGACACTTAACTCTTGGTCAAGAGATTTACCCGCAGCTCAGACGAGTAACATATCCAATGGGTGGCGCTTCGCAGCAAGATTCTACCCAAGAACACACTTAGTGTCGTCGTCACCTCGCTGAGGTACACCAAGACAGCAAAAGTCCATCGGCTGGCTAAGCCCAAATGTCCGACAAAAATAGATCCAACGGCACACGAGCCAGCTTAAAATCCTACCATCAAAAATCGTATTGATTGGGAAAAAGTCAAAATGTCCACATCCAGAGAGCCCACTCACCCGAGTGTTGGGACCAAACAGATAAAGACATGCCTGACGTAGGATTCTCCTTTCTGTCGTGCTAACAGCATGTTAAAGATGTCAAACATGCTACGGAAAAGAATGTACCTATTCGTGTGGTCACAAAAGTCTAGCACCCGCAGGCTGCTCCCCGCTGATCTGTGGAGGGCGCAGCCCGGGGCGAGCGGGAGGCCTAATACGGTTGTGAGGTGAAGCAGTCATATGCAGGACGTGACGATTCCTTGGGTGAGCCCAGAACCAAAGCGCCATGTATCATCTCTGCATTTATGGAAGCTTCCTTGGATGGCAGGGAATGCCCATGATCTGCCCCTGCCTTCCCTTGAGGGCTAACCGTTCCACATAGGGCTGCCCCAAAGGGGTACTCCGGGGGCAACACATGTAGAGAAAGGTACAAAGAGGACACCATACAAATAAGGCAACATCTCGACCCACACAAAAAAATGGCCAAAGTCATCCTATAAATAGGCCTGACGTCTTCCCTCTAAGTCATAATACATATGCCCGTGATGCAAGGAACGGTAAAAGCCAGTAAAACGGTTGTATACGCATAACTCAGGTCCAGGTAAAAAGACAAAAGTCCAGGCGGACGATTAACCGGGACCTTTCGCTGGAATTCACAGCCGGTGAATGATGAAGAAGAAGAACAGAACGAAATCAATATTGCATAAAACAACACACTGAAAAAATAAGAAGAAAACCAAAATCATTGAGTAAAATAATAATTAAGAAGAAAATCAACATTGAGTAAAATAATGAAAATATATAAGTTATGGAGAAAGACTCACCTAACAAACATGTAAAGGCTTGTTTAGAACAAATGGAGAACCCTCAGAACTATTCACACATAAAATATGGAGTGTGGCTAGGCTGTGTTCGATCGCCCCTTATCTTCATAACGTACATTGATAATCTTCGTGAAAAAAAACCCAACCTGACAAGCACTTTAATATACCAAGGAGAAGAAGAACCAAAGCCAAACAGTTTCGTCAAAGAACTACTGTTTGAGAATGACCAAGAACTAATTGCTACTTTAAGAACGGAAGTACAAGACCATATCAATGATTTAAACTAAATTTGCAAAGACCATAACATGAAAATGAAAGCTAACAAAACAGATCATGACCATAGCCAAAGTAGACAAAACAATAAATATCCTGCTTATAGAAAACTCGCTGAAACAAACCAAAAACTTCAAATACTTAGGAAGCATAATTTTTTCAGCCGGCAAAACAGAAGATGAGGTTGATACGGATGTAACAGAGCAAACCAACTCACAGGGCAAATGGCACCAATACTAAGAGATAAACATGTTGTCATTAGAAACCAAAAGAGCACTCTATAGGAACAATAATTTTTCCAACCATGGCCTGAACTGGATAATTTCAGAAAAAAAAAAAAAAATAATTGCAACAACTGAAATGAGATTCCTACAAAGGGCTTTCAATATAACAATAAGAGATAAGATCAGGAATGATGAAATCTTAAAGAGAATGGAGTAAGCAGCAACTCTGGATTTCATTAGAAGACAAAAGGTGAAATTGTTTGGCCATATAACGCAGATGTCAGCAAACAGTATACCACAGCAAGCAATGATGAACAGGCAGGAAGTGAAGAAGAGGCCGACCATGCAAACGAAGGACAAGGGAATAACAGAGTCCCTGGGAAATCCAATGGGGGCTTTCCCTTAAATTATGCTGCACCTCGACACCGCAAGGTACCAGAGGATCAACATGAGACGAGGTGAAAATGATATTGTAATTTTTTTTAAAAAACAACATTTTAAAATAAAATTTAAAAAAAACTTCGACTTGGAAAGAACTCCCAATTGGTCGACTCTTACGACATGCTGTTGAGTAGGCAGTGGGTCTATTCTTGTTTTCCCTTAAAAATGGCCCCGGAACCCACACGGGGATACCGAACATGATAAAACAGCACGTAAGAACACATACAGTAGTCAATAAAGTAA